CGTGACTGGAATTTTGTCAAGCATTTTGGTCGCTACATTATTGAGGTGTATGATAACCAGCGTGGATTCAGCTGTAGCGTATAACACAAATCATATATGTCCCCATAATTATTTATCCCTCCAACCAATTAATTCAAATCCATCATCTTACTAATCCTTTAATTATTTTTTTATTACCTCCTCCGTTTTTATATTATGATAACAGTTTAAGGATTTATTTCATATTATTTTTATTTATTTAAACTTAGAATTTATTGTATTTATAAACATATATTAAAAATTCGTTTTGTGAAACAAACATATGTTGATCAATATTACAAATCATAGTCGTAGATGAAAAAGATCAGATAAAATAACACATGATGCACTAATTCTCAAAGTTGTCACAATTTCATGATTCCTCAAAAGAACACTCCCTCCGTCCCAAAATAAGCTTCTGCATTACCGTTTTGTTTTCGTTGTGTCCACTTTAGCCCTGCTCGGGGTTTCTTCTTTGTGTTCTCACCCTTCTTTTTGTCAGGGTTAGCTTGTTTCTGTTTCTTACAAAATCCATAGTTTTCATTTTCTTGTATACTCCGTGATTTCTTTTAATATTATTGTCTTGTCGATTAAGAATTTGTATATTTGCATTAAATGTTTTTTTAGATCTAAAAACCGAATCTTGAAATGCATTTATTATCCTTTCAAAGGTAATTGCTTTATCAAAATAAAAGAATATGGTAGATACTTAATACAGATTTAATACTCAATCTGTCCCAAAATAAGTTTTCGAAAAAGACATATAGTTTTAGAAAAGTAGACTAAGGGGTCGTTTATCCAATTGCTTACCCGGTAAGCGCTTATCAACAGGAGTCAACGCTATGATTTATTTTGATGCGCAAGATTTTAGTACATCAAAACATATCGAATGCAACAATTTACTGGATAAGCGCTTACCTGTGTAAGAGTCATCATCCTCACTTATGGGTAAGACTCTCCATCATTCTCATTGCTCTTACCAGGTAAGATTATTGACTCTTCTCATATTCATCCGATAAGGAAATTTATCCGGTAAGTACTTACCCGGTAAGTACTTATGAAGTAAGTGTTTAACAAACGTCCCATAAATACAATTTTTATTGGACTAAATGACAAATTTACCCTTAATGATCGATATGATAATTATAATGAAGGATAGAATGGAAAAATATGTATTTAATTTTTAAAATAAAAAGCATTTAAGAGGTGAAGGTTGATTAAAGCAAAAACAAAGTTGATGGGTAATGAAGAAAAATGAAAAGGGGAGTTTTGCATCTAAAGCAACATACTTTCCATTCAAAACCATTACTATATTTTTCATAATTAAACTCAATAAAAACAAATATTTAATTGTATATATTATATTCTTATTAAGAAATTAAACACATTCAAAACAAGTTACAATTATATACTTGACTTTTGCACAATAATTAATCAACCCCAAAAATGAAGTGCACCAATGCTTTTAAATTTTATATATATATATATAATCAAATGAGAACGATACTCATTTAAAAGAACAAGAAAACGGACAAATCACATGTGATTTTACACATCGGTCGGAAAACGGGTTTACCGGCGGATTTCCCGACCAGAAATGTGAAAACGACTAGATTTCACCCGACTAGCACCGTGGCTACAATCTAGCGTGCAACATAGATCGTCCCAAAGGTCGCACAATCCTCCAAAACGGCTAGATTTCACCCGACTTGATCCTGATTCGATCCGAAACAATCCAAAATCAATTATTCACGTCCAAACCATTATTTTACGAAATTAAATTACCGAAACACACAATATATTCCACATTTCCAAAAATTAGAATAATTCATAAAATCCACGGGTGTTACATGTTTCACAAAGTGTTTGCTTTATATATATATATATATACAATTCACAATGTGAAACTTTTTTACATGTAACTTTGTTTAACAAATAGACTAAAATTGTTCATATTGTGAAACAAACACATTGAGAAACAAATATATGTTAATCGATATTTTAAATCATAGTCTTCAATAAAAAAAATCATATAAAATAATCCATGATACAGTAGTTGATTTTTAAGAATTAGATTCAAAACTTATGATTTTGGAAATCAAGGCTTACTTTGGTTCTTATGATGGGGAGGTCCCTCATTAGTTGATTAAATTATCAACTAATTCATAAAATTCACATGGTTTACACTGATTAAAGTAGTAGTTGTTGTAAGGACCGTTGATCAGACTTAATTAGGTCATTAATAGATCGGTCTTTTACAGACTATTTCTCAATTAATAATAATTGGACCGAGCTTTGTTTGTCCATAGAGGAGCGAATCAAGTCGAATTCAGATATCTGGTATTTTGCATATCTATACTCGAACCATCAAAAACCAATAACTTACGAGGTGCGACAGATGGCATCTGCCTCCAAATCCATTCGAAGTGCAACTGTGATGCAACGATTTTCACGGATAAAGACACAATGGGGGCTGGTATGGTGTTGCATGATGGGGAAGGAGGTGTAATTTCTTACGAGATGATTCAACGTCAAGGATGCCCGGGGGTAAAAGAGCGTAAAGCGATAACCATGCTTGAGACTTTATCGTGGATCACAACCATGGGACAGGAGAAGTCACTTTTGAAATAGAGTCCCAAGTTGTGGTGAACGCTTTGAAGCATGAAGATGGGCACAATACCAAATTCGAAGGCATCATGCAGGCATGCAGATCAATCTTGAAGTCTATATGTCGTTTTTTAGAGTTCAATTTGCTAGAAGAAACCGAAATGGGGTTACCCATACATTAGCTAGGAAATCACAATTCTTTGTCGCGCCAACTACGGGCATTGGCTCCAGTTTGATCACCGGAGGAGCTAAATTTCTATTGTAACGAATCTGATCATTAATAAAAGCATATTGTAAAAGTCGACGTCATTATTATTTTCAAAACATGAATAACTTTTATAACAATAATATATGTAAAACACGACGTTATAAATTTTATTTACAAAATTATTTGAATATTTTTATCATACAAGTTTAAGGTTTTTCATTTAATTTTATCTTCAAGTAAACTTCAATTTTAATCTTTTAAGGTTAAGTGAAAACTTTGAAAATAAGACATAATTTTTTGTAAGTTTATAAATTATTTTTCTATCATATATTTTGTTCTAAAAATAGTCCCCAACAATAATTGTTAAAAACTGTCAGTTAAGTAAAGAGCATTTTGGTGTTTTTTTTTAAGTAGATTATTTATCACACACCCTTCTCACATTTGATGAAGTTTGAACCCCTGATCTCCTAGGAGAGAAAAGATTATGAAACCGCGAGACTAAAAACCCTTTAGTAAGAGCATTTTTGGTTAAGTGAAACTAAAATGCCCGTGACTTATCAAGCTATTCTTAACGGAATTAGTATCAAATATCATTTCTAAAACAAAATCCAAACCAAATTTATCAAATATTGGGTTCCTATTTTGAAATTTTTCATTACATCATAAGTATCAAATTATAGTTTATTCTTAACTTTCTATAAATTTTTCATCGTTTGAACTGATGATCTTGTGGAGCACCACGGTTAAGAAAGCAATGACTTGTACATATGACATAAAGGTTGTGTTTTCGACATGAGTGTGGATAAGAGAACAAAATTCACTGTCTCATATTTAATATAACATAAAACAGTATAAAAACTTATTGTTTCACGTTTTGTATAATATAAGATAGGGTATGGAATAAGATTGGATGGGATAAAAGAAGTTATTCTTATCCCATCAAAATGGATGGAACAAGATAGACATAATGGGGCAGAACTAAAAAGTTATCAATTTATCGTCACTTGAGATAACCCTAATATGATATTTGATTTGATAGTCAGCATTGTTGATTGCCGTAGCCAACACCACCTTTGGTGGTGGTTACCGACGACCACTGTCGATCCACCTCCATAATCACAAGTTCCACCACCATCGGCTACCTACCACCTCTCTCTCCATCATCATTACCTCCTTCAGAATAGGTAGAACAAAAATCACAAGGATGTGACATATATTTAAAAAAAAACTAATTTATCCTTATTTGATATATTTGTAATATGATATTTGTTTTAATGATCACCATTGTCCATCGCCACCACCAGTTGCTGCGTCGACCACCATCTGTACAACTTCACCACCGCCTCAACCAATTCATATGGATCTTAAAAACCAAATAAAACATGGATTTGCTTTGTATGAACCAGATTTTATTCAAACTGTTATCAATTATATTAAATAACTCATTCAAATTTGATATCACTGTATCTATATCTATACTATCTTATAAACCAGATTTATCAAAAGTCTTAAAACCAATTTTTAATGCACAAAGTACTATACATTTATGCGCAAAGTCTTAAAAACAACTCATAATACATTAAGTACTATTACTTTATGCATTCAGTCTTAAAATCTCTTAATCTACAATTAAAATAACATATAGTACAAGTTATCAATGCACATTATTACCTTTTCTTTTCATGTTCCCACGGTACTTTTGATGCCTTTAACTCATGTCTTCACTCTCTCATACCTCTATGTCTTCTCCCTATTCCCCAATGTGAGATTCAAACTAATATTCACCATGAGTTATTAAAAATTCTCTCATTCATCTCCCATTCAATTGCTCTAAAACTCTCGGATCAAACACATTTGTGGAGTTGTTTAAATATGTTGAATTTTAACTGTATTGGATTTTAAACTGTCGTACAATTTTCTTCATCGATATAATGCAATTAGAACCATAACTCTTATTTATTCAAATTATATTAATATGTAAGCACAAAGTGTAACTTATATTATCGTTAAATTTTCTTTAATGAAACCAATAAACTTCAAAATCATTAAAATTCACCACTTCCATTGCTGCATTATACAAGTACACAGGCTGGTATCTATATAAAAATTGATTTATCTGTGATTCTTAGTCATACCAAACGTTTATTAGCATACCAAACCGGCAAACCCTTCACGCGTACCAGATCACACCTTCACAGACAAGGGAAAACACCCTTTCGTATTTCTCACTCTTATCCACAGTAAGAAACAAGTTACAGGACGATCTAGAAAATGGCTATGCCTTTAGGAAATTTCCCGACGTTCGTAGCCAGCGAAACGTCATCTCCGGCAAAGTATTCAACGTCTTCCGTGAGGCTTCTTACCTCTGCGGCATTGCAACCGTTTCAGGCAAATCTACGTACAGCACGCACCTTTGTAACATACGCCACTGTGTCCAAGCCTGCGACAGAGCCTAAGAAGCGGGTTAATGGATTCACCAAGACTTATCGAGTGTCGCCGGAATTGAAGGATTTCCTCGGCGGCGTGCCGGAAGTTTCCCGTTCCCTAGCGCTCAAGGAGATTTGGGCTTATATCAAAGAAAAAGAGCTTCAGGTATTACTTTATACAATTTATCTAGTTGATTTTTTCCCTTTCATTTAATTTGTTCTAAACAATTCAACGAAACCCTAGCTTGCTTCCTCTGCTAAATACTGGTTTTTCTGCTCGAGAAGGAGAGACGCATAGCTAAAATTTATTTTAAAACAGCATATTAAGTTAAGATCTTATGCTTTCAGAAATTAATAGATGAATTTTGGAATTGAACATGGACTCTTGTGAGTACGATTTCTTTTGGCCAAGTTTCAGATATTCGTTTTTCATGTTAGGATTCACACCGAGAGGATAGGGACTATTTCATAGGAACAGAATAGAGTAGGTCGACTGGGACGCCATGGAAGTGCTTTATACCAGTTATGAGTATACCGTGTTGGGGATCGAATCTCTAAGATCATTTTGGCATGTCATTATCGTTAATTTTCCATAACCTGATGCTTGAGTAAGAGATATTATCATGTATCGTTGGTTAATGCATTTTCCAGATCTTAATCCATGAGAGATATGCTATTGTTGCTAACTTAAATTGCCAGCATTACAAGATTTTGCTAATAATATCATCATGCTTATAATATTTGCAAACACAAGTTTGTTCTGTAAGCTTCAATGGCAATGGAGGTAACAATGATATCCATTGTGAAGCCAGCTTGATTGGAAACTTGGAGTTCTCTTAGGGACAAAGGTAGATTAAGTTGACATGATTGAATTAAGATAAATGAATCTTGTGGGTCTCCGCAGCTCTACGCAGTGTTCAGAAACACAGCTGATACAGTGTTTGGATTTGGACAAGTAATCTTAAACGGAATGATTTATTTGCTTTGAGCTTTAAGCCTCTTAGCTTTTGAATCTTTTTTTTGGATGCTTATAATTTTATATATGGCTTGAACCCTTGACGTCCAAGCAGTAGTCGCACACATTTGTGACCTTTAGGAGGCTTGAACCCATGACCTCCAAGGCTTGAACCCTTTTGCAGCTTTTGAATCTTCGGTGGTGAGACATGTGACTCATGCTATTATGTTATGCAATTTCTTACGTTTCATGATTGTAATTCGTACCACATCAAGAATTTTTTAGTGGTATTACGATTATGGTCTTGTTGAACATGGGTCTGTTGGCATGTCTCATTTGAGAGATTGAGGTTAAAGGGCTTGATTACGCATCTGGTAAATGTGTCTTAAACCAACCTAATCGTGTTAATCCCTAATTAACTATTAAGCAGGTGGATTGGATTGATGATGGGTGTGTTTGTTTGTTTAGGAGCCAACAAACAAGAAGGTTATCGTGTGTGATGAGAAACTGAAGACGATATTTGGAGGGAAGAATCGCGTTAAGTTTCTTGAAATATCAGGACTAATTTCTCCTCACTTGCTCAAGTAGACAGAATACTTTGCTAGTTTATGTTCAAGGTGCTTGATTTGGTTTGTTTTCTAGTTCCTTAAAGGGAACAATTTTGGTAGTTGGTTATCGTTTATGTTGAAGGGTCTTAATGGACAATTTGCGGTGATGCTATATGTATTGGAGCTTTCTTGGTTCTATATTTAATGGAGTTCCATTTCATGGACTTGAGGATGGATTCATATGCTAAGCAATTCATAGCAGGACTCTTACTTGTAGTCAATCAAAACGGTATCATTATGGACATCAAAATGGACTTGAGTTTTATTTACCGGGTAAGATTGTAGTCTATCAAAACTGTGTCGTTATGAAACAATTTACCCGGCAAACACTTAAGATTATTGACTTTTGTCATGTTCATCCGATAAAGTAAATGAACCAGTAGTGGAATAGTGTTTAATAAACGCCCCTTATGAATGAAATTGATTAACGGTTAAATGTAGGGGTGGCAATGGGTCAGGCTGGATTGGGTTTGGGTTTGGGTTTAACCTATTTATTAATCAGGTTGATAATCTCAACCCAACCCAACCTATTTAATTAAATGGGTTGAGATTTTTCAACCCAACCCTTTAACTAAATGGGTTGAGATTTTTCAATTCAACCCAACCTCTAACTTAAATGGGTTGACAATGAGTTGACCTGTTTACAATTTTCTTAACTCAACATGTTAAATAAATGGGTTAACTTGGGGTGATCCATTTAATTTAAAATGTTAAATAAAAAAAGGACTAGACTATTTAATTTTTTTTTAAATAAAACACAACACAACTACAAAATACAAACAAATTGTTCAAAGTTTGAATAAAACACAATCGCAACAAATATATTGTTCAAAATAAATTGGAAAATTTTAAATTCTAAGTAACTCGACTTCCACTTTCACTAACCCCAAGTTCATCCCCAGTATTACTTTTCTTGTGATCCTCTATCTTCTCTGTCATGATTACTAGTATTAATCATTGAAATAAAACTCAAGTTATAAACAGTTTCATATTTGTTTCCCAAACCGAAATAGTATTAATCAATAATCATTGGAATAGTATTGGTTAGTGGTTATTATAAAAAAAACCATATAAAAAAACAAACATTATAATGAACTTACTATTGGAATGGTAAAAAATAGACTTGAACTTGAACGAGAAAATGAAACATTATTAATATTAACCATATCACTAAAATGGTACTGTTGACTAAACTTTGAGATTTGAATATGTGTTCAATATTAATAATATTACTTGTCGATGCATAAGAATTGAGTGTTAAAACGTAAAACATAAAAATTACTATTGAGATTTGAGTGTGTGTTCGACGAGAGGTTGGAGACAGATGTCCGAAGACTCGGATAGCATGTGGAGTCACTAATGTTGCCTGAACGGAGAGAAAACCGAGAGGGAGGCAATTAGATAAATGTTGGACAGAGAGAGAGCCGAGAGGAAGAAAAACGCTGCACGAAAGAGAGTCGGGATCGAGAGATCGAGAGGGCGAGAGGTGGACAATAGACTTGAAGAGTTGGATTGGACTTTGGAGGCGATAATGGAGTAATTGACTAAAGGGTTTTTTAGGTGACGTTTGGTTCGCAGAATGTTTTTGGATGAAATGTAATCTGTTAAAGTAATTTGACTTTGAAAGAATTGGAATGACATGTTGTCAAGTTTGACCACCTGTTTGATTGACAAACATTGGAATAGAATCTGTTAAGAAATTGGAATCTGTCTGTTTGGTTCACAAAATGTGGCTTTGGAATTGAAATAAACTATTGGTAAATGACCAAAATACCCTTTCTTGAAAATTTTAATTTTTTTAAAACTAAAAATGCTTTAATTAAATAATTATTTGATATGTAAAATAATATAAAATACACAACCCAAATATAATCATAAGGCAAAAGACGTTATTAAATCAGCGGTGGTCGGTGGTGGTTTAGATCGGTGGTGGTCGGCAGTGGTTCAGATAGATGGTGGTCCGTGGTGGTTCAGATGGAGGTGGTCAACGATGGTTCAGATCGGCGGAAGCGGCGGTGGTTCAGATCGGTGGTTGTTCAAATCGTTGGTGGTCATAGGTGATTCAGATATGTGGTAGTAGTCGGTGGTCGGCAGTGACGGTCCGTGGTACTTCAGGTGGCGGTGGTTGGATATGGTTCAGATCGATGATGGTCGGCGGTGGTTCAAATCGGTTGTGATTCAAATTGGCGATGATTCAGATCGATAGTAGTTGGCGGTGATTCAGATCAATGATGGTCTGTGGTGGTTCAAATAGCGATGGTCGACAATTGTTCAGATGGATGGTGGTCCATGGTGGTTCAGATGGTGGTGATCGGCGGTGGTTCAGATCAACAGTGGCCGGTGGTGATTCAAATCAGTGGTGGCCGACGGTGGTTCAGATTAGTAGTGGTCGGAGGGTGATTCAGATCAGCGGTGGTTCAGATCGGTGGTGGTCGGCGGTGGTTCAGATGGCGGTGGTCGGCGGTGACTCACACCAACGGTGGTCGAAGGTGGTCGACGATGGTGATATTGGGTTTTATGAGATTAAGATGTATTAGGTTAAGAGCATATTTGGTATTATGAAAATAGATAATTTCATTCCATCAAAATACCATGTAGTTGCTAAGGAATGTTAGATTCTTTTATTTGTGGAATTTATATGATTTTGAAGATTCCTTTCGTGAAAAAGAATGAACCAAACGAACGAATGAAATTTGATCAATAGAATTCAACATTCCAATTCCATCAGATCCCTTCAGAATCTGTGAACCAAACATCCCTTTAGGGTTTCATGATGATTAAGAGTAATGGAGGCGGTTGGAATTTGGACTTTTATCTCACGACGGTAGGATTTTTAATTAAGAATAAAACATAATTAAAAATTATAATACTAGACATAATACTAAGAATAAAATAAAATTATATAATATTTTAAATGAGTTGGAAACATGTCGAAAAATTCAACCCAATCCAACCCGTTTATTTAAATGGGTTGAACGGATTGAACCATTTAAAAAATCTCAACTCAACCTAACCTGTTAATTTTGGGTCGAGTATTTTTTGCCACCCCTAGTTAAATGGTTTTTATATATGTTAAGAGTCAATATATGTTGATTAAAAGAACGTTTATCATATTATTAGGATGGGGATAAAATCATAAATTGATGACATAACGAAATGGATCACATAGTAATATTTGCTTAGTGAAAACCCCATTAAAGAATCAATTTTATGAGTAATGGTTGTTTCGATTTGTAATGTTCAATTTACTCACATATATGAGCAAAGATTCGGGAATCCAGATAAATGTTTTGTTATACTATGTGAATGTTACGTTATATTTTGTGAATGCAGTAAAAATTATAGGACCTAAATGTGTACTTTCACCCGTTTTTGTAAAGGTGGGGGAGCTTCACACGACATCACACAATATAAAGGTACTTTCACATATATTACGCTTCTCATAAAAAATATAATGTTTTTCACGGGAACCCAACCCTTGTAGTAAGCAAATCAATTCATTATTCCCAATTCCCAAACAAACATGCTTCAAATATTGTTTAAAATAAGATAGATGTATATAAGTATTCTTTTTTTTTGGTAACCGTGACTTCCAGGCCAGCTTATGCGGACCGACTAATTTTCGTGGCTACCACGAATGGCCTAGAGTCGTCGCAGGTGAACCTCCATAGCCACAAAAGCTTTGGTAGCGGCTTCGAACACAGGATAGATGAGATTTTCAACTAAATCCATGAGGTTTAACCGATGCACCACAACCCAAACTCAAATTGCGAAAATATACAAGTATTAGTTGGAGTTGGAGATATTCTAAAATAATAATACTTTGCATCTGGAATTTCTTTGTTATTCATCCAAAAGAAGGGTGTTTTGGAAAAAGGTTTGTAACACTTCCCAAAAATCAACGATGGAAAGGAGAAATGAACCAAACAATGAGTTTACAAGTTAAAACCCCCTCCAAACAAAGCCTTTCTAACACCAACCACTCTTGGGTTCTTTTTAAGGAATCAAAAGATGGTAGTATTCATGTGTGTTGAACCAAAAGCGGTTGCTTATCTTTCTTACACGAGAATATGTCGACAGGCGCGATCGTGCAGCCGAGCTTGGTACTGTTGGCCGACAATCCTTTTTGTTGATCGAGATAGATTACTATGACTGTGATGTCGTCATGGAAACGCCGTCTGATGCCCTTTCCGATTTTCTTGATGTCCTTGTATCTCAGTTCCCTCTTCTTTGTAGCCTTCTCAAGGGCTGCTCCCACTAATCTTTTAGCTATTCCCTGAACCAAAAACAAACATTTCAACACATGTGTTTCTATTCAATGCAAACACAGTTTCCATTAATGACGGCAATGGTGGGTGTCTAAAGACCTTGATCGAACCTTGACCCAAGAAGGTCACTAGACCCAAAGCAACTTTGAAGTATGAGGTTAATGGCTTGGCTACATAGAATATCAATTGGAACTTGTGATATAGTTACATGCAAAGCAAAATTCATATGGTCATTTCTACGAAAACAAAACTGCTCCAAAACCATTATGTTACAGTGTTAAGAAGTTAACTAACCGGTCTTGGATATTTGTGCACGATATCTACTGCTTCTTGATCACTCAACTGCTCCCAAAGTCCATCTGAAGCAAATATCAGAAACAGATCTTGAGGCCTAAGCTTTCTGGAGATTATGGAAGGTTCTGCTGTCAATACTGGTCTTTTCAGAGCAACAGGATTTCCAAATTGCATAAAGTATGGATCCCTGTTGAATTCAGGCTTTTTCAGATAGAAGTCACCTATGGATCTTGAAACCTGAAAAGAAAAAGGCGTTCCAGATATTATCACATGTCAGTTTAAGTGGATGGAAAGAACATTTGAAGCATCTAATGACTAATGGGCATATACTCAATTTGTTGCAGAACACAAAACTATGCAAAAAAAAGTGGAAAAATGGATGTTATATAAGGCATATGGATAAACAAGAGGAAAAGGTAGAGTAACATATCATCTCTGGAGCCACAACATGTCGAAAGTTGAGATCTTCGTGTACTGTCTCATGCGCAAAAGGCTTGCTACCATTAGACCATGGTCCAGAGTAGAACATGTGATTCCTGGGAAAAGTGGGAAGTATAACCCCTTTTAGAAGATTGCTAAAGGTGTGATCATGTGATGCTTCTTCTAATAAAAGTAAAAGGACAGAGATTGAAGCAATGCAGAACAAGATACCACCCTTAAAAGTCTTTGCTAGCAAGCAATTCGTGGGTGTACAGAATAACTTTCTTTCAGGAAAGCAAAAGGCAAAAACAGGAAGGGTGAGAGAAGCTGAAGAGAAATTAAGCAATCTTATAGAGACCAATGGAAGCAATATCTCTCGATTCAAGCTGAAGGATACCAGCAACTCCAAAATGGTTTCGCCATGTTATGCTAATCAGGTTAACAAAGGCCATTAGCTAAATTTTCTCACTTCCTAATTTCTTGTAGTACACCAAATGGTGAAAAGCAAAGAGCTTGTTGTTCTAGACACTTGGTGCCACGGAACGAATTACTAGTAACTGTGACATGAGATGGTATCATCTGAAGTCTTGCAGGATACAACGGACTACAGGATACAACGTCTTCATCCAAATCAAACAAAAAAAAAACTCAAGCTTGGAACCAAATTTCTCTCAGAACGGTTAATATGTTCAGGATTTATCATCTGTCATGACAACCACAAGAATGCACAGTGCAAGGTGAAGTTTGAGGATGCTTCAGATAATGCATAGAGCATTCCCGATCCAAAAGGCTGTTTTCTGAGAAATGATTTAGGACCCTTCTCTAATCTCTTAAGGAACCATAAGAATATCCAAAAAATAAATTATGCACCTATAGGCATTAGGCTATAATATGCCCCTAACAGGCAACCATGATCTTGAATAGAACAAACAAACATGCAATGGAGTATTATACACTTGAATCTAATAGGATTTATATAATCATCATATCATATGTTAATGATCAAGACAAACAATTTGGTTTACCTGAATAATGCCTTTGATTCTCCAAACACCATGACAATAAACCACAATATGTGAATCACCAGGATGCTGTGCTTCAACCTCCTTCCTCACCTCCATGAAAGAGACATTATGATCTCTTGACAAACGCTCTGCAACCACTGTTGCCTTGCCCTTGTCCAGAAATTTCTGACCAAGGACCACTCTTGAGTCCCCTAGGTTTGCAACATATAATTCATCGTTCGTAATAAGACCAACAAGACAACATGATCCAACTGAGGCAATCTGTGGTCTAATAGGCATTGAAAGCTTCACCAATCGAAGGAATCCTTCCTCTGTCGCGTTGAATGCCTTCTTTATAACATCTGCAGATATCCCTCCTTCCTCAGTCGCAAATTCTACAAAAAGATATCCCAGACATGAATACACAATCATCTGCACAAGCCTCAGCAGATTCGATAGTCAATCATCATACAAATATAAAATCACTTCATTCGATTAACTTTTGGATCACGCCACATGATCTGAACAAAAACAGACAACATTCGCTCATATTCTACTACAGAAAATCAATGCACAGGGAAACTTTTGTGAACTTACTGTCGATGGAAGGGAGAATTTGTGAACTTACTGTCGATGAAAGGGAAAAGGTGGCGATTGACAAAACGAGAAGCTTCGGGACCACCATGACCGTCGTAGACGCCAATATAGGTGGCAGACGGCGACGTGAACACCTGGCTTTGGTCTTCGAGGCTAGAATTGGCTTGAACGACTGCGATTGAGAAATCACCGGAGGCGTGAGGCTTCAAATCCGTATGCCATAAGAGTTCATCACCACTCCGTTGCGGTAAGCATCTGTCAAATGGCTTAACACATTTCCGTAACATCTTTGGGCGTTTGTATCATAAATTGAAAGAGAATTACGAAAATAGAGGTACGAGGTGTGGCAATCAATGGCGAATCTTGGTATTAAGGAAGAATTCTGAAGAGGTTTTGCATGAATTGTGGGGAGGGAAGGTGTTGTTATAGAGGTAGAGAGAAGGAAAGGAAGGGAGAAAAACTCGGAGGAACACCGCGTGAGATGATTACGACGTCGACGACGTAGACGGCGGCGCGTCGTCCTTATACGGGAAAGTTTGTGTTCATTCGTAACCGTTTAACGAAAACATTATAAAACTTCAATTTTTCCTATTCATTTATTGAAATGCTGAATTTTATAAATTTGGTCCTTGCGGTTTGTGTTTGTTCAAAAATACAATAATATTTTTCGTCCACTGTCATGGTTTGTAAAAACGTTTGAATTTGATCCCTTTTTTTAACGATCGTTAAAAAATTCAGTTCGATGAGGGAATTTGATCCCTTTTTTTGTAAAAATGTAGTTTTAAGACTATAACATGACTATCATGGTTTGTAACCTTACTGACTCACACTATCCCGCCTCAAAAACAATATGTAGGACAGTAGGAGGCAAGTCAGATATACAATGGTTTATCAGATTACTTCCACATCAGAAGCCCTTCACTCAAAGGAATTGTAGCTCGTGCAAGACTACATTGCGGCTACCTTCTCTCATTTTGTACAAGTGTACCATTTCCAGTTAACCGTATTAAACCCTAGAAGGACAGGTTTACGCAAAAGGGTTTTTAACCCTTTAAATAATAAATACTGAAAAACAAAGTAAATTAACAGGTTATCAAAAATTTAATATATTTAAATATTAATTAAAAAACTTAGCAAAAGGTTTATTGTAGTGGTTGAAATGTGCAATTTATTTGACATAGTCAAATTTGGTTTTGAGGTTTATTTTCTATAAAAATAAAATTAACACCGATTTATTAACATTCTCGTATTTTTCTTCGCTACTAGTTTGATATAGACACCCGGAACGAATCGTTCCTCGACTTAGACAAGCCATGCTCAACGATAATGAATCATAGTTCAATTTTTCTATTTTTTTATTAACCTGGATATCCAACCTGCTATGCGAGCCGACTAATCCCAGAGTGACCACCTGCTTTGCACATAGACTGGAGTCACCGCATTTGAACCTCCGTGGCCACAAATGGATTTTTGTTCCTCCTTGGATTTGAACCTGGGACCTCATGACACTTTTGACCTTTGGAGCCAAGTTCAAACCAATCAGACACCACCCTTGTGGTTAATTTTTTTTTCCCTTTTTGTACCAAATGAAATCATACGATTCTAGATTCATGCTGCTTCTTTTTAACCCTGTGAGGTTAGTTCAAGTGACAATAATGCATGGGTATTGGAGATTCTCCTCAAAGATCACCAGTTCTAGTCTTGCAAGACCATTGAGATTTTCTTTGGTTGTTCTTTAGAGCTCTTTGGAATTAGTTGAGATATGCACAAGCTAACCTGGACACACACGATAAATAAAAACAAATTGAACTTATTCTGGCTCATGGCCAGAAAGTTCCAACTTGGGTCCGTCATGATATTATTTTAGAATTGAGAAAGAGAAACGCGCAATGCCAAAAAATTATTGCTTACTACAGAAAGAAATTCTACGTTAAAATGGCACGTGCAAAACATCATTCACAAATAAAAAGGCCTCTTGGGAATTTGAAAAAATCAACGTTTGTCGAGGCAACCAAAGTTAGTATGATGCAAACTAAGTTGGTGGTCCTAGAAAGTTGTCTTTCAACAAATTCAACTGCAAACATATGACGCCATACATTTAAGCTGAACTTCAACCAAAAATATAAATTGAGAACTTATTTACCCTAAAAAGAGACGGAATAAACATCTAAGACGAGAAATGCATACTTCATTCTTGAATTTGATATGATGTGTCGACTTAACATACAACATTGAAGTAATGAGTAAATTTATGTACAATAGCCAGGGAGAGCACCAGCCCCTCGAAAGCTGCGAATCAATTGTAATCATTCGAATGTAGCAATCCATTCGGTTTCGTTTTCTTTCAATCACAAATCAGAACTGCTTATATTTGTTACACTCAAGCAATCCACATGACTGTTTTCTAGGCATGAGAATGAGAGCCATTGGAGAACCCGGTGTACCCGCTCCAACAAGGAGAGGGATTTCCCTTAAAATTGGGGACCGGGGATGGGGACGAGGCCGGGTAACGTGATCCCCAACCCACCTTGTCCCGTATATTAAATATATTATTTATAAATAATTAGATTTAGTATCTTTTAGATTTATAAATAATGTTTTTGACATTTCTTCTTATATACATTTTTCTAACTTGTTTTACTGTTTTTTACATAAAAAATATGGAGGTTCGAAAGCATTTGTTCAAACAATTACGTATGATGTTGTCAACATATAAATATTTGATACTCGATAAAAACAAAAATTGTGAAAATATGTGAGATTTAAACATTGACCATTTTGGATCGAGTATGATATTTAACATATTTCACATAAACGAGAAATAAAATCTCCAATTCCCCATTAGAAACGAGGATGAAGATGTGATCATATTTTTCTTCAAGGACGAAGATGGGGATTGAGCTCCCCCTCCAATTCCCAAGCCTACTTTTTTCGGTAATTATTTCATTCTTTTAGAGATTCGAGGCATTAAAAACTATAAAGTATATGGACGAAATTTCTTATCCACCACAAAGTAAAATCTGATTATAGTTATGAAATATAGTGGAAAACAACTAAACAATCACATCCCATGTCAAGTGCGGTTAGGGTTTTAATATTTCACTCGCTTGATCATTATAACATAAATTTAAGTTTCGATATCGTAGCTTCTCATTTATCTGGAAACAATGTCCAAAAGTAGCACAAAAACAAATAGCTTTGATAACATTGTCAAGTTTCAAAAAGAAAAATTACACATACACTGGTCATCACCATCTTCTTAGTAAATCCGTAACTGTATTTAGAGCATCTCCAACAGATTCTCTAAAATTGAATAAAATAGATGTTTTGCTCTCTATTTTGTTTCAACGAATCCTTTATATTGTTATCTAAAAAATAAAGAAAACTAAAGAACCCTCCAAATTTAAAGAATTCTCTAAAACTTGATTGGAACTGAGAAAAAAATAACTTTTTATTTATTTTCTACGAATGAGATTGAATTATTATTATTATTTATATAACTTTTTAAAAAAAATGCATATAGTAATAATAATTTATAGAGCATTTTGATAATATAACGAATGTTTTAGAAAATCTGTTAAAGTTAAAGGGGTGTTTAAGATTGCTTATTTAAAACAACTTATGTTTTTTTTTTTGTAAAAATGCTTATTAACTTATGTGGTATGAAACTGGAGTTATATAAAAAGTGTTTGAATTAGCTTATAGCGGTACCAAAAAACAATAAGCTGATAAGTTGTTTTTTAGTGTTTGGCAAATTTTGTTTATATATGTAAAATGACCAAAAAGTACAGTCTTTTATATTATTGACTTACAGGAGTGTTTGAGATTGCTTATTAACTTATTTGTTTTTTTAACATGTAAAAATTTATTTTTCATCATTTATAATAATTTCTTTGACAAAAATTTATATCAATAAGATTAATAATTAACAAACATTAATAAAACTAGGTTAAAATGGTAAACTGTTAATAAATAGTTTTTCATAAGTCAGGAATGATTAACTTATCAAAAACTGCTTATTACCGGTTTGGCACCGGTATAAACAGTTTATTTTTTCTCATCCAAACACTAGCATTTAGCTTATAACCGGTGTCAGATTGAAATAAGTCAAAAAAACATCTAAAATAAGCAATCCCAAACACCCTCTGAATATAATTTTGTTTTATTTTAAAGAAATTAAAATGGATTGATCTGGTCCTTATACGGTGAAGTGAGAATATTCAACATGAGGACCGGAGTCCTTTTTTGGTCGGGTCCTCGATCTGAGAATGACAAAGCAAATTCTAAAGGAAACTTGACCCTACTTCTCTTCTCCATTCCAGATTCCATTCTGCTGACTTTGACCTATTTTCCATTTCCCATTTCCCATTTTCTCATCCAATCCAATTCTGCAGGCGTTTGATGATTCATGTTTTTAATTAGAGTTCTTGATTTTGAGAAAGAAAAAACCATCTGAACCCACATTATATGTCTTGTAGTTGCACAGCTGGGACCCTAAAACACTTGAACCCTTTACCCTTCCTTGTGTCAACATTTTAGATTCTTTATTTATAAAACACTTCAACATAATTTTGAATCTTAATACACACTTTCTAAATACTACTATATTTTATTTTATTTTTATTAACCTGGATATTCAATCCGCTATGCGAGCCGACTAATCCCAGGACGACCACTGTTTTGCAGATAGCCCGGAGTCACCGCATTTGAACCTCCATGGCCCACAAGGGGATTTTTATTCCTCCTTGGATTTGAACCTGGACCTCCAGGTACTTTTGACCTTTAGAGGCAAGCTCAAACCAATCAGGCATTACCCTTGTGGTTAATACTACTATATTTCACATCTATCATGCCTTGAGTTTACACGAAATTACTAGGATAATCTAGAAACTTCACATACAAGTTAAGGCACAACTTCGTATAGATATATATATGAGATCGCGTTTTATGTATTTATATGTATGGGTGGTTAAACGGTTAAAATATAACTTTATGACAGTTAAATGTTAATGGATAAGGGTGAAGGGCAGTTACAACCGACTCCGAAGATCCGAGTTAGAAGCACCACAAGACAAATCAAAGTTCTGATCAAGAGTCCTTAACACTTAGAAATTACAACGATAACTTAGAACTCTAATTAAGAGGCCAGAGTTTTGATTACACTACCTCATAACTATTAGTGAAATTTCACCAAGTTCGAGAGCAATTTCAAGGAGGTTTCCAGCCTAACCCCCGCCTTTTGACGAATTAAGGTGGTAGGGATAATCATTTGTGTGTGGGCACTCTGCACCTCCTAACTCACCTTGTTTGCCAAATCACTTTAATCGATCTCAAGTAAATCACAATTCCACCAAATCTGATGACACTAAAATCACCAACAAGTTAATTAGTCTACGACCATTTCTATATATGTTGGAAACCTCCTTTTTGTACTTGTCTAGCCCCCTCTCGACACTCCCGGACAATCCGTGTCCATCTAGCCTTTTTTGGAGGGGGTTTACTAGAGTCCTACGTCAACTAGACTCGGACCATTTCTCTTCTATATATGTTGAAACCTCCATTCTCTCCTCAAAGGCTCTTCCGGATAGTAATATAGGTTTCCACATATTCTCACATCTTTGATGTAATTTCACTTCTTCATAGATTTATTGCTCACAACTCTTTGATCTATTTAGTGTTTAATCTTTAATATATGCTTATGTTTCTAGATTTTGGGTTCATTAGATCATAGGTGCCATATACTGCACCATCCCAGGAGCAACTTTTTTCCATATAGAAAACTCCTGCTAGCTGCTGTGAATACATTACCAATGATTGAAGCTCAGTTGTCTCTTAGATATTTGGAACTCCTTCAGATTACTTTCAAAAAGATTCCTTTAAAAAAGCTGAGAGGTTTCAACATATATAGAAGTTAAGGGGGACAAGACTCAACAGGCAAACCTGAGGTAGATAAGTGAAAAAGTTGTAGAAGGTTTTAGGGACATGGGTAGTCTAATAAAATTACCAATATCGTCTCTATATCTCCCTATTTTTTGTTCCACCAGTCTAATGCCACACCAAAGGTGAACACCAAGTTTTTTGTTCTATTATATCCCCTCATGTCGCACGTATCAAACAGAACCCTAAGGAACCGTGTCTAGCCGATATGTGCCCCCCAAATAGTCTAAGTAACAACTAACAAGCCATGACAACAGTTTAAGGTGATTTATGACAGACAGAACATTAGCTTACTTTTAAGTACTCACAGAAGTCAAGAGCTTAGTACAGATATATTGATTGGCATGTGAGTTCAATAATTAAGGATGATATAGGAGAAATGTTCAAAAATAAACAACTATTACAGATTACCAAGTTAACGGATGATGCTTAGACAGACAACTCCGTTTTAGAGATCAAAATCCCATCCGTGTCCGCATAAAGGTATTCCCCATCCCAGATTCTAGTCCCAGCAAATGCAACAGGAACATGTTTCTCCCCAACACCCTTCTTATTAGCTTTCACCGGATGAGAAGCAAGCGCTCTCACCCCAATGTCACAACTGTTGATTTCGTCGACGTCTCTTACACAACCATTGACCACAATACCAGCCCATCCGTTGTTCTGAGCTTGCACCACAGGATTGCCGCCCAGTATTGCACACCTCAAGCTTCCACCACCATCAACCACAAGGACTCGTCCGTTACCCTTCTCCTCAAGAAATCCCCGGATTAAAACATTGTCTTCAAAAACTTTGAGGGTGACAACTGGACCTGAGAATACTTGGCGCCTGCCGTATATCTGGAAAACTGGTTGGAGTGCACGAAGTTCACCACTTACAATGAGTTGAGGGTTTGCATCACAAACTTCAGCAGTTGTAACCAAGGCCATTTCCTATACTCTGTGAAGATTATCATTTTGTTCTCAGATTACTAATGTGAGATCAGAATATATCACATGCAAGGTAATTCAGATTTCCTTTTGAAGTGCCAAAACCTATGTGCATAATTGCATGGAGTGAAGCAAAATAGCAGTGATTATATGATGGACTCAACTGTTACGGAGTGCCCAAACTACTCATGCATTGGTTTAGCCTCTGATTAAGCTTCAAGAACCAGCATTTGCTACAATGACAAATTTATTGCAAACTAAATTATTCTTAAGCTTATCCTATTTGTTTTGGTCATTAAGATTTTCATTTTGTGGTTCATCTTTATATTGTGTAAGAATTAATTAAAATGCTATTACGGGTCTGATTTATTTGCTGTGAGAAGAAAGGAAGATGGATCATAAGACCAAAATGAACACGACAGATCTTGAATTACAATCATGGCAGGACTACTTCAATTATCTTCTATGCAGGAGGTGGGAAACAAAGTGATTCTGCTATTTGACATGAAGCATAGAATATCATCACCCATACTTCTTTACAAGAGAGTGCCAAAGAAAACTGATCAGTAGGTAGCATAGCAAGCCATTGGCATCATAAAAAGCACAAAGTAGGTTCATGTACTTCACCCATCTAAGTAATGTGTGTCAAACCAAAACCTTGTATGAAGTTTCCGTGAAGCTAGCCACAGGGGCCATTTAAAAGTGAACAGGGTTGGAGTTTACTAGAAATTGGTTCCACCTTTTCACATGTAGATTGTGAGAATTAATTGATGATGTTGACTTTAAGCTATCATTTAGCGAAAGTGAAAATGATCACAATGATAAACCGGTATTTATTGCACAAAGTGATAAAAACAAAATTGTGTGCAACAGAAACACTTCCTAGGGCCACCCATCCTGATCCTCTCTCAACCAAACAAGTTCTAATTATAAAGTTCTGACAATATTAAAATATATAGAGATTTTAGGATTTTCATGAAACATTTACTAACGAAATTGTTTATAGAGCTTGTTACAAACAGAATGATGTTGATATTAAATATACAACAAAATCCTACGAAATTTGCCTTTAAAAAACTGTTAAATTCAGGATTCAAAGTTAAGTTTGTAGGTTTTGTTTTCAGAACAAGGGAACAACTTGAAATACTACTCCAAGAGGAGTTGACCAAGCTTAAGTGAATTCCACAAGATCTGGCGAAAACCTACATGAAGATGCAAATGGGAGTGATTACTGATTAGCTTAGATGGAGAGGGATGATTTCCTTCACAAATCTGCTGGTGATCACCACACACACCTAACATATTCACTCAGAGAATCTCTAAACGATCGTCTCCCTCCTTAACTCCCAAAATCAATCTCCGATTCCTTCTCTAAGTTCATCCAAAAAGGTTAAAGCTCCTTAAACTCACTCCTTATCATAGACATCATACATCTTATCGCGTACGATTCATTATTTTCTGATTTTGTTTATTCCTATATCGTAAAACTGCTACCAAAAGATCGAATGAAGATAATCCGAGATCGGAAGAAGGCGAGGTGACAAAAATCAGCTAACTAGGATCGTATAACGTGTATAATCGTCAATAATTACACGAACATTCACACAAGTGATTCAAACATAGTCCAAGGGATCAATCACTGATTCATATGGAAGACATCAATTGAAGATGATGAGATATGACGTACCTTAGATTCAAAATCCAGAGCAGCAGATCGTAGCTTCAGATCACAGATCTTCTCCAATGGATTAAATCAAGTCACAAAGAATCTCAACACTGTTATTAATGGTTCATAGGATTTTGGACCGACAGTAAGGCCTGTCGATATCATCATCATTATTCTTGTAGAATTAGTGAATGGCATAAATCGTCCCTCCGCCATTTGCTCCTTTACACTTCTTGTCCCTATATCAATTTATTTTACAAATAAGTCATTTTAAAATGACGAGTTAAATGCATCCCTATATATTGTTAAATACACTCTTACCCGTTAGTTTTTCTTAACACATATTAACATCAAGACTTACTTTTTACATTCAGAATGCATGACTTCACCTGATATAAAAAAGGGTGCATATATCATCACTCATTACTCCTTGACGTTTGTAGTTTTCTACTCTTCTACTAACAACTGCCAAAATTGCAAATCTTCTAGAAAACATCTACCAACACCCTAATAACAGACAATCTAGGCTCCCTAAACAACCAAAGTTCTTTATTGTTCTTAAGTTCTTTTTTCATCTCCAATAATCTAATGGTATCCTCATCTTTCTACTGCCTTCACGTTTATAGCCCCGCCACCAGTGACATTATCTCCATGCCACTCAAGAATAACAGTGACAACCCTTACTACCCAAGTGTTTGCCCCAAATCAACAGCCTTATGCTTCAATCATAACCATATCAACGAAGATCGGACGAGAGGTATTCCCAACCCAAAGCATGAACATGGTATGAAGAGAGAACTCATCTTTACCATTTGGCACTCCCTCCCCAACATCATGTATGTTCAGGAATCTTTAGATGAAGAGAACAATCTTAGATTTCAAGCACAATCGCAAGCACATGTTCATATTCGAGATGTGAAAAAAAGAAGTCATTGAGGTGGGGAGGGGGTCACGATGAGGTAGAAGAGGCAAAGCGAGAAAGAAGAGGGGTCGAGATTTGGGGTCTTGATGTCGTTCATACTTGTGATGGTTCCAAGGATCCAATATGGCTGCTTCACTTAGTTCTACATTGTCACGATATTGTTCTATGGAAGTGGGCGGGGTGTTAGAGGTTCGAGCCGCTTTTTTTTTTGTGTGTCGTGGTGTTTTGCAAAAAAGAAATAAAGAAAAAACCTTGAAATAATGGGAATAAAATGTCTAAAATTTCTCTCATTTAACTTGACTTAACAGAAAAACATAACAGTCTTAGGGGCTGTTTGGCAGTTGCTGAATGGTTTGGTGCAGAATGGTTAAGTGGTCAGAATGGTTAAGAGGGTCAGAATGGTTAAGTACTGAATGAAACAAGGTTGTTTGGTAGCTGTTTTCTGAATGATAACAAATTACCATTTTAACCATCAAATTTGAGTTAATGTCTCATGTCTCTCTCTCTCTCTCTCTCTCTCTCTCACTCCCACTCAGTTACCCACTAAAACCAACATAAAAAAGGGTACTGTTTAGGTGCTTTATAATTATTATTCTGCAAATCAACCTCCTTTGATAGCAGCAGCAACTACAAAGCAATTGATTGTTCTGCTTCTGCAACTGCAAAGGGGCTGTGGAAGGCAACAAGTAGGCGAGATCGAAAGGGGTTGTGGAAGGCAACAAGAAGAGGACGCAGCAGCAAAGGGGTTGTGGAAGGCAACAAGGAGAGGACGCAGCAGTAAGGAGGCGAGATCGAAAAACTTACCAGCAATAAGGAGAGGACGCAGCAGCAAGGGGGCTGTGGAAGGCGGCCGGACGACACAAACATCCATCTTCTACTTCATTCGGGTAGGTATCCATCGCCTTGTTTTTTATTTTATTGAATTTTTAATCATTTCAAACTCTCTGATTATACCAATTTTCTATTAGAATCTGTTATCATCTATGCATTTTTGGGGGTTTGCTATTTGGTAGTTGCATTCCAGGGAGGCGAGATTGATGGAAGGAGAAAGGAAAGAGGAGGAAGGAGGAAGGAACGTGGCTGGAAAAGGTTGAGAGGGTGGAGAGGGCAAAAATGGAAGAACATACATCTGAACCATTTAGGAGCCCCCTAACCCCTAAATCGTTAAGAGGTTCTTATTTTTTTGCCAAACAGCTTATACCTCTTACCGATTAAGAGGTTTTCTTTTAATGTCACCATTAAGAGGCAACCAAACAGCCCCCTAGTGTGAACGACCAAATCAAGGTAAAATGCAAATTTTTAGAGACAAATTTGTAATTAATAAAGTTGAAGGACTAAATCCAATAAAACTAGTAAACATAGGGACAAAATGATACTTACGTAATTATTAAATATTATTATGCATTTATTATTATTTATTCTTACTGACTTTAATTGGTTTTTTTATTATTAATGTCAACAAACGAGAAAATAAATTAAAAAAAATAATTAAAATAATCTCAACTATTTCTTCACACGATTCATCGAAATAGTCTTACGCCCGTAATTTTAATTTTTTTTTTGGATCTGAGTGAAAAATATAAAAGAAAATTACGGACCTGAATAAAAATGTATATTTTATCGGACATGGGTGAAAAATATTGCAGACAGGGGTAGAAAATGTAATTTTTTTGTTGTTTAGTTACGGGTGTAGAACTATTTTGATAAATCTTGGAAACAAACGGTTAGGAGGTGAAACCAGTAATTTTTTTTATAATTCATAGATTATATTTTAATATATGTACGATAACTTTTAATATAATGATGTGTCACCTGGTCAATTGTATCAAACGTTCGTTGTTTTATCCAAATCTAGATTTACGGTTTCAAAATGTGTTTGTTAGAGAAAATATCTTGTTCTTTAATTCCCTTCCCTAACTGTTATGGGATAAATAATTGCAAACAAACTGGTATTGCATTATATAGGTCAATCACAAGGAGACACTAATTTGTGTACCGATTCTGTTATTAATCATAAAATTAGCTACTTGAATAACAACTATGAAAGTGACTAATAAACTACAACTTAATCTATGAACAATAAAACAAGGAAGCAAGTAAAAAGGACGAAAATTTAAACTAATAAAAACCACAAGGGTGGTGTCTGATTGGTTTGAGTTTGGTTTCAAATGTCAAAAGTACCAGGAGGTCTCAGGTTCAAATGCGGTGACTCTGGGCTATCTGCAAAGCAGGTGGTCGCCCTGGGATTAGTTGACTTTCATAGCGGTTGGATATCTAGGTTAATAAAAAAAATGTTAAATCAAATTAGTCAAATCCGCAACAACATACGTTCAACATTACTGCAAACTAAAAGTGACTTTTAATAAACAATTAACATGAAAAGAAAAAAACTATTCATCAAATAACAAGATTCTACAAACAAATAACTCGAAGAACAGGCTTTTTTAAAGCTTAGGAGAATAACTGTGACATACAAAATGACGAACCGAAAATGGTCTTCAAATAACTTCGAGCTTCCACATCAAATCTTACAAAATAACACCCAAAATGTGCAAGTGATTACAACTCAAGAGCTTGAAGAACCAAACTAAAATCTTAAGAGGAGGATATCCCCGTTACCCGATACACAAATTAGCAAAAAAACTTATAAGGGACAAGCTTTTACTATGTAACATTAAAGCAGGTATATAATTGCGTGTAAACATAGAGCCAAAAGCAAATCTAAATTCTCTTACATCTGGCATGAATCGTACAATTTTCTTCATTGATTTGACACAAACCAAGCAAACCCTTCTGAAGCTCATGCATGAATCGTGTCTTTTCTCTTCATGATTCGCAAGGACCGTGCCAACGGTCCGCCCATCTTGCAAGCTTCATGCCCTTCTCTTCACAAACTTCGCATGGTCCATGCCACCCTTAATTAACAACTCTGGCTTTACTTCAAAATCGTTCGATGAACCGATCACCATCTTGTCGAAAGTCGAGATTTACCTACCATTAATTACTCGAACATGACCCATCAATACAACAACGAAAGATGCAATGCAATTTACGCTAATTATGTACTATTTAATTAAAACTAAAATGCAGAACGAATAAATTAACACCTAATCAAACAACATAACACATAATAGTTATTAAATAATAATAAAACCAAAAATAATAATAACAAAATGAAATTATTAAATAATAATATCATTAATATCTAAATAAATAAAAATGAATTTTGATTGATTAAGGATAAGAATTTTTTATATTATACCACATACTTAGTTTCATAGTTTCAAGTGAACAACAACCTTATAGAAATAAGCCGACATGTCTAATTCGGTAAATTTAACCTGTGTAGGGAGCAGATGAGTCATTGTTTGGTACTGGTAGTACCCAATTTTTTAATTATTTAAGTAGAAAAAATAAAAAAATAAAATAAAGCGAAAGCGAAAAGAGAGGTTTGCCACGTGACGTCACATGCGGACCAGGGGGCAGGAGGAGGACATAGTCGGTAGAGTAGAATCAATTTTCTTATATTATCTTCTTATTAAATAAATATCAAATTATAACTGATATAATTAGAGGAGTGCTAATGACATTTCTTTGTAGGGGTGTTGATTGCTTGAAAACTGTGCCAATCATTTTTTGTCATAAACATCAACTTAATTAATTATATATTTATATTTTATTAATTTTGTTTTATTTTATATATTTATATTAAAAATATATATATTATTTTATTATTTTTATGTTACTTTATTATTTTATATTTTTGATTTTGTATATTACAATTT